AAACCCCACTCACAACATGATTCTAGTAATTTTTGTTGCAATTTACTCTTTCCCTGGTGATATATAAACAGACAGTCAAAAGATTTCCTTGGCTTCATAAGCAGTCTTAGGGCTGTATTTGACAACAATTTCTAAGAAAAAATAGACATATCATATTAAAAATTTACTATCATCTTCCTCCATTAAACAGGTGTTTACAACTCAGATGCTCTCAGGATTATCTGTTTTGGTTATTTCAACTTTTAAGTATGTGTTTTGGTGAGTGCAGCTTTTATATAGTCTGACTCAGTGGAATGAATTCCATCACACTATGAAAATAAGGCTGAAGTATTTTATGGTAGGTGCTGAAGAGGTGATGCTGAAGACCACACTGTAGGTGCTAAATTCTACAGACAGCTGACTCCATGATCAGCTTCACCTTCAAGTTGAAGATAAAAAAAGCAGTGATGATTATGGTATAATCTGAACTAACCTCTAAGCTAAATATGCCTCCATAATACCATTATAAAAATGAGAATTATAGGTTAATTCAAGTTTTTATGGTTTAGGTCTGATAAATATATTTTTATTAGCTGGTTTCTTTCATATATATATATGTGCGTGTATATATATATATATATATATATATATATATATAAAATCTTAACATTGGTCCTGCAAGCAAGGCCTATTCAGGAAATTTGAGGATGGTCTCGACTCCTCTGGAGCACTGTGGTCTGGGAAGTACACCTAGGACACCACCAGGTGTCCTAGGACACCACCAGCCATTACACACCTTGTGTGTAGCTTGCTCCTCAATCCATATTTTCACCTTGGTGTTAATTAATCTTCTTTTACTATTATGAACAGGAGCTCTGAAAATGTTGGATTTACACCTGCCTTTGTAGCCATTTGTCCAGCCAGACTTCCACCCAGCCAGCCTCATAGAAAGAATACTGCTTTGTCTGGGAAAGAAAATCCCACCACAGATATGAATCTGGCATTTCTGTGTGCTAATTAATTACAATTTATAGTCTGAATTGTCAGGATCTTCAGTGCAGGTTACTCTGACTGGTGAGGCAAAATCAGCTGGGAACACAGGAAGGCTTTTGCAGAGGGGAGAATGGGATTCATAGATAACACGAGAATTATATTTTCCAAAGAAGGGGAAATGTTAGCTTCAAGGATGGAGGAAGGAGCCAGGACATGATGATGCAGCACCTCCTGCTATATCCACTACACACACAGTGTAATTTCCCCTCAGATGCCTGATGCTCCTACCGCAGCGTGTCTTACTGCATGAGTGGTTGCACTCATGTGACCACAGGGTTTGGCTGATGACCTTTACTCACAGAAACATCAGTAGCAATTTACAAACCCTTTTACAGCCCTGTTAAGGGGTTTTGCTGGAGGATGCTGCAGCCAGAGAGATCCTCCCTGCCCAATACTAAAGGCCTGTGACAGAAAGAAAAAGAGAGCCTGTTCCAGACAATAGCTGTGAACAATAACAACAGAGAGCAGTGAGAAACTTAAATATATCCACTGCTTTTAGCTTATTCAGTGAATTACATGAAGAATACTTTTACCAAGAGTGTAGTCATTTTCCCCTGAAACAGATCAGAGACATGGGGCACCCACAATTTCTGGTGCAAGTGTCAGGGCATGAAACAAGGTGCCATGTGATAGGGAGGCTCATAGCAATAGCCCATACAAATGAAAACTCATTATTCTTCCTCTTAGGACTGTTACCCTAAAATGAAGTGGGCAAACCCTTCCTTTCAGTGCTATTTTATGTGGCTGAAAGATAATGATATCCCCAGTCTACCTAAAGGTTTCTCACCTGCAAAACTCTGTGTCAGTTCTGAATTAATTCCTTTGGAGTGCTCATGTCCCTGCCTCACTGGCTTTCCAGCTCCTTCCTCAGTGTATCCAACAGGACTAAGGAACCTTATGTTTTGATAGTTTGGGGCTTAGGGCTGCCATTTCTTCTTGTGGTCACCTCAACTAATCTAATTGATGCTTATTAGCTTTTCTGCAATTATCTTGAAGAAAAATCTATAGCCCACTCGAAAACTGCAGCAGTCTCTCTTGAAACTTGATAATTACGTATCAGACCTGAAATTGCCATCTATTATATATTCTGCAGTCTTTCCCAGCATGTGATTCTGCTGCAATGCCTCTGGGAACGCATCCTTACTGAGAAACTGGTGGGGTACTTGCTAACAGAGTGGTGAATAATGGTGCTGACATTACTAATAGTCTTCCTTAATCTCCCCCTTGCTTAAAATGCTGGCATCCCTGGAGGGGTGCTATGGCTCCACACCCAACACCAACACCACTCAAGCCAAATTGACATCACATGTACCCTCCCCTTTCCCCCTCAGGACAACCAAACCAACTGGACTGGATTCCAAACTGGAAACACCAGCTCAGATATTTCTCAAAGGACAACTGTTGTCCTTAAAGTCTTACTGAAACTTCAGCAACTTGTTTGCCCACACAGGTGCAAAAATGAAGTAAGATCTTTAAACTGAATTATAATCTTTTTCAGGAAGAACTTTTTATTATATTAATAAAAAATTATTATTGGCTCTTTAAAGATTAACTGGGTTATTGGAGTCCTTCTGTTACCATAATAAGGCAAGAGGCTGAAACTTCTAAAAGCAAAGAGACTCAGCAGTTTAAGTAGATGTATTCTTGGTCATTATTTCCCATTTAAAACAATTTTTTTTCTATCAAATAGCTCAAAACTTTATATAAGGCAAGCATTATGTCATTGATTTATCTCAATTCTGTATTATAAGTCTTTGGGAGAGTCTGGTTTTGCATTTGCACTAGTGATTAATATTTTCATGCCTGCCCAGATTAGTGTTCGCCTTTCTAGATGGCAGAGCAGGAGAAGTGTTTTTCATGCACAGTACAGTTCCAAACAAGCATGGAACCAGTAGTTCCCTACCAGGTAATCTGCCATGAGGATGTAAATATATGATAATTCCCAAAAAAAAAAAAAGTGAAGATGTTTATTCACCTCTATTTATCTTATGTACCTTAAGTAAAATTGCTCATGTAATACAAATGTCTGGTATCTTTCATTTGAGGAGCTCAAACTCTCCTCTTTGACTAAAGAAAAACAGAAGGAGTTTAGCCTCCCAATTGGGACACCTCTTTCAGTGATGATAAAAAAAGAAAGCCAACCACAGTTACTCACTCCTTCTTGATACTAAATAAAATTTCTGCCTTAGTGCAATTATGAGCCTTATGCCTTTTATTTCATAAGTTTCCTCCATATATCTTGTGCCTTAGCTGATGCCTTTCATTATCCTTCCTTTTTAGATAAGCCTTGCTGCCCATTGCCTCAATTAGGGACTAATATATATATATATATGAAATCAGCACAGTTTTTCGCATTCGTCCTCAGGATTATTCAATAGAATGCCTTATTTTTATTAATAAAAATGTACCTTTCAAAACATTTCCACAATCATTATTTCAGAGCATAGATCAAAAATTACTTCAGAAAAGTAGTTAAAAGAATATTGATTTTATTTAATCTAAAAATATGTTTTCCATGTCTAAAAGTAAACTTGTAATTTCTACTCCCTCTGCAGTCAGTCAGGAGCAATACATCTGTCAGTGGTGTGCTTTAAATGAGTCACATTCTGGGTATAACTGATTCTCTGATTTGTTATCAAGGGAATCTACATATCTAGGTTAGTGTTAAAATGCCCACATTTGGATTAGATAGATGCCATCCATAGAAGTTAATGAAAGAACAACTTGATTTTTCAAAATTTTTTCAAGGCAGCATGATCAGATCTGTGTTGATCTCTGTTAAACATTGTATTTCAAAATCATTTGGGTATCTCTCTCAATCGCCAAAGGACAAGCAGACAAAAAATTATAAGTAATCATTGAAAAATTCTGCTATTTACTAGAAAGTCTCCTTAATAAATAGAGTAAATGGAAAAATTTTGAGTTGAAGAGATACATTTCTTTTGAATTTACTATCAGAAGTTTGCAGCCAGTTTTGACTTGCTCCCACTTGAAGGTTCTTTCAGCACACAAAGCCCAACCGAAACTCACAGAATAACTTCAAAGAAAAGCAGCATTTGCAATTTTTCTCATGTAATAAAAGACTATAGAGATAACAAACCACGTGTCTGTTTGCTGAGTGTTCTTTTGCAACCACTGCTTATCTGAGGAAAAAGCAGCTGAGGATGATAAAGTCCTAGAATTCCTGACAGTAGGTGAGATCAAGGCAGCTGGATGGTTTCACTTTTGTTGGAGTATAACTTCAACACCAATTTTATCACTGTAGGCATGGCCTTTGTCTTCTCTTTGGAGTCTACAGGATCATGGAGGTTTAATAGGAGACCTTAGAACAATATATAAAGATGACCATTTCTAAACAAGACAAACCAGTACTAAAAGTACAGCTCTCCAGGTGCTACATGGCCTGAAGACAGGCTGGTCTGGCTACTGCTACTTATGACCTGAAGGCTGCAAGCTGCTGTCCCAAGGCCTAAAGACAAAGCTGACAATGGCAGCACCAGCAGCATGTCACTGCTGCTCTTTGGTCAGTGCCTGGAGTCCTCCTCAGAATACTTCACCCATAGCCTGTGCATGTGTTGAGGTGACATCCCTGCCACTTCTGTCCCTTCTTTACCCAAAGGAATTGGGTTTGGAAAGGGAAGCTGACATCTAGTAAGAAACACAGACACAGAAAGTTATATAGTGCAACTGTGCAATCAGTATTATAGCACCTCCCCCATTTGGAAGTGTGTACATATTTCATGGACAGCATGGATTTGGACATTTTCTGATTAGATTGGTTCCTCTTAAACATCTGGCGGTGCTCCCTGTATCCCACAGAGAGGACAGGGCATTGCTCACAGCTGCTAGTCTGGCAACTCCACGTCAGGGTCACAGCTGGGAAAGGGAAGGGACACAAAGGCTTGTGTGTCTGAGTCAGCCTTTTTGTCCAGCCCTCACCTTTGCCAATAAAAGCCCTGCAGCTACAATCACCTGTGTCACAAGTCTTCACAATGTGGCCCCACTTTGGCATACACGCTCTCCTTGTAGTGATTGTCACCCTGAGTCCTGTGCCTGCTGCGGCACAGAGTGAAAACGATGTCACTGGAGAAGATCTCTATCCCCCTCTGTGGGACCTGGCCCCTGGAAACCTGCTGGACTTCCCAGTAAAAGACAACAAAATTGTCATCAATTCTTGGAACTATCAGGATCGACTGGGAGTGTATAAGAGCTTGCTAAGTGCTTCAGCCAAATATTTTGATGCCTTTGGACCCCAAAACAGTGGCAATATTCTCTGGGGATTACCATTGCAGCATGGCTGGCAATTTCGTACAGGTATGAATTATTTCCTTAAGATGCTGGCTCAGCAAATTGTTTACCAGACCTGCTTAGAGGCTTCCTTTCCAAAGTTTCTGCCTCACAAGCACAGTATGGCCTCAGACAGTGTAAACTTTGACAGAGCTGCCAATTTGAAAAAGAAATGCTGAGTGAACATCCTTACCTTGCTGAGAAATAGCTATAAAAATTCCTTATAGGAAGAGGTCAGAATCCAGATTTGTGGTATAGATGGGCAATATTTCAGCTAACTAAAAATGTTTGGAAAGGCATTCCCAGTTGCTTCAATTTATGTAGACAGATTTCAGGGCACGCATTCTACAATGAAGTTCTTAAATTTTTAACTAATTGGCATTTATTTTTGTTAATGTTATAAGTTCTAGAGGTGGTTAGAATTTGATTTCTAAGACATGTATTTGAAAGTCAGTGCTTCCCTCTGAGAACTTATTTCCATCTATTCTTCATAATCAGTTTAGAAGTAGCCTCCTTATTTTCTAAATATGTTTTTTACCAAAATGGAAGTTTTTGTTTGTGGGTTTTCTTGTTTGCTTGTTTGTGGGGTGGAGTTTGTTTTGTTATTGTGTTTTGTTTTGTTTTAAATTATGTCCAGATTCTAAGGGTTTATCTCCTAAAAGCTGATTGTTGTCTAGGGCAGTCATTCTGGTTTGCTTGTTGTCCCTGCCAGGGGAGAAGTCACAGAAACATATGTGAAAGGTTCCTTAAGGCTAAGGCTGCAATTCTTATCAGGGGTAAACAAATGCATCTGACTGCCTGTTGTTTTCTTTATTGGATGTAACCTGTGGTTACATGTGGTGGTGGTTTGGGTGCCACTGTATGTTTGAGAGAACACAGAGGTCCTGCACCTGGTGGTGAAAGAAGGCTGCCAGCATTTAGTCACGCCTAATGGAAAATGTACTCTTAAGTCAAAATGAGGAAAACAAGATAGTAAGCAAAATACAAGCAGGAAATTAGATGGCAAACAGATAGCAACAAAAAGAGTTTGGTTGGGGTTTAGGCAAGCTTTTTCCTCTTTTCCTTCCTTCTGTATACAAAAAGAAGAGCAGATGAAAGGGATGGCTGGTACAGCAGGAGAATTGCCCCAATGTGTGGCAGAGGCAAAGATGACTGGATACAGCAGCTACAGCTGAGTGGTGACCTGCTGGAAAGGAGGAGTTGTGGAGTCTGGCCTCATCCACAAAGTGGGGATGTGCCTTGTTGTAGTGACAACTTCCAAGTAGAGACAAGGGACATAGTTTGTGAGGAGAAGATTTGCCCTGGTTGCATAGACAAGTAAAGATGTCCTGTCACCTGCTATAAGAGTCATAGGACTGACACTTAGACAAATTTTTTAATTTACATGACCAGAATGTTAAAAAAATACTAAAAGGAGAAATATCACATAGTTGGAAGTAGTTTTACAGTAAAAAAATGTGATCATTTGAAGGAAAAATGGAAGGGACAAAGAATAACATACAGTAGTGAGGTTAGCAAGGGCTAAACCAGATAGGAGGTGTGATAGATTAGTGATGAATGACTGAAGCATTTGTATATCAACATAATAAGCTTGGGCAAACAAAAGCAGGATTTGAGTTCATGGTGCAAGACAACAGAACTTTGAAAATATTACAAAATTTGTTGAATTAACAGTTCTGTCTTGTCCTGAAAGACAAGAAGACAAGGCATGAAGATTTGTGATAATCCACTCAGGAACATAAAATGAAATCAGTATTCTGCCTAAATTTACAACGGAGACAAGGATCTTGAGACAGCATGGCTATTAGGAATGAGATTGTGGAAGCAGAAATTGTCACTTGAGAGGCAAAGCTAAACTGAGGGCCCTACCCGGAGAAACTGAGGAAACAGAATAGACTGTCTCCTCACGTCATATACAGAAGTACAAATCCAGGATCAAGAACTTTAAGAAATATTCACATGGTATTGTATGTCTGAAGAGCAGGAAAGATTGTGCCTGTACTTAAGAAGAAAAGAGGAGATAAGAACACATATTTATTTTTCTTATATCAGTAGTAAACAAAACATTAGAATAAGTATAGAGTAAGAATATTTAATGACATGGAACCAGATAGAAAAAAGGGATAAAGCACAGGTTATGTGAATCAAAGGTAAATTGTTTCAGGCTAATTTGATATCTTCTTCTGTCATACAAATGTTGGGGTTTTTTTCAAAAAGAGATGCAGCAATGCATTTACGCCCTTTTACAGAACAAGGGAACTGCAAATCTGGTAAAGGAACACATGAGGGAGAATTTGGTGATAACTGCTGCTAAAAGAAGTCTACAGCTAAGTGGAGGACGTGCTAGGAGTTCTTCATCAGCAAGATGAGAATAACTACACTTAGCACTTCCAGTAACAACATTTCCACAAAAAAAAAAAAAAAAAAAAAAAAAAAAAAAAAAAAAAGGAGAAATCTTGCTGATAAGGTTTCACATAGTTATCAAAAACACAGCTGGGAGGTACTGTCAATACAGCTTAGCTTGGGTAGACCTGAAGACTGAAATAACAATTGTGTTAAGCACAGGGAATAGGAGGAAGCAGAGACAACAAAAATGTTGTGGACACCTGTAAGTGCGGTTAATGCTTCCAGTTCCAATTTCTATCTTAAAATTATCACTGATACTGCCTGGGAAATCTTCATTTTCCTGAAACACCAAGGCTAACAATATGTGGTAAACCTCATGTACAATTCTTTTGCAACATTTTGTCTCTTTCTTCTTAGCCTTTATCCTTCCCATTCATCCTCTTTGCACACCAGTGATCTATTGCTGCCTGTTTTTTGACAGTCTGTTGAAATAAAATCTTGAAAAATGGAATCTTTCTGTAAATATTAAAAAAATATAATCTTCATTTTAAAAAATGGTTTGAACTGCAACCCTCATTATTGCAAGTTCATGTTCTCACTGCTTGGCTACTGAAAGATACAGGTTTGAGTAACTAACATGCCCCAAAGCACAAGCTCTGCCCAGTCAGCTAGGGAGAATAATTAGGATAATTTGTATGCACAATGTTCATGATCATCTCTTCTTCTTGAGTGTAAGTATCAGAAAATTCGGTTTGGTAATGAAGTTTAGTTCTAATCTGGCAGAAATGACACTGCCATTGTTCAGCTGACTCATCAGAGAGCAAGTGCTCTGCAGGGCAGTTTGGGAGCTTCTGGAATAGCTCAAGTCATTGCACAAGGCCATGGTAATTGCATGCCATGCACTTTAAGCAGATTTCCTGACACTCTGAGTGACAACACTTAATGTACATGCATGGTATTCTTTTAGGACTTAGGCTGTTTCTTCATGCCAAGTGCTTAAAGTAAAATATTCTCTCATGAATAATTACGAAATGTCTTGCATGTTTTCTACAGCACAGATGCTGGCAAACTTTGCTAATTAGTTACAGCAATGTTTGCATGCTTAGCTTCACAGTAAGGCTACGTTTGTCTGCATGATTAAGCTGGAAGTGATTCTGTATCACACAACCCAATTAGGTGAGGCAATTACTGGTACATTTAGTTTGTGCTATTTTACTTGTTGAGCAGTTCTCCTGAACTAGCAGCCCTACATCTATTAGAAATGATGCTTCAGCTATGCATGTGCTCATGTCTGCATGTGAATGTATATTTAAATCTCACTAAAAACACTGTGATGTCCTGATTTCAAACAGTTCAATAAATTCACAGAATACATTTAAAGTGAGGGATAGCTCAAAATGTAAAACACAATCAAATTACTATGCAATGAGAAACTCAACTACTCTAGGACATTAGTTTATGAAGCAAAGCAACAGTGATTGTTTTGCTTCTCTAACCAAAAATCTCCATGCTTTATTCCTTAATCTTTTTTTTTATCTCAGTGGGATTTCTTGTGTGAAAAGTTTGAGAAGTATTTGTTGTATTATTTCATTTGATTCATTCAGGTAGATTAGCAGATCCTTCTGGTGTGACTTCCTGTGGCTATGAAAATGGAGAGCCCCTGTGCCAATCTGTAAGAAGCTGGTGGTCCTGTAAGTATATGCTGTCACACTGTTCTTTTCCAAAATAAATTAATGTCCTTGAAGGACATAGGAAAATATTTCTTCCCCTTAGACTTCTCTATTACATTAAAATTTCAGTGCTATGTAATTCTCCATCACAAACTTGCAGCAAGACACCTAAGTGTGAGTGCGTAAATGAAAGTTAATTGATTTTGAATACTTACTTGAGGAAGGAGAAAAAAAACCCAACAAGTTTGCAGCCTTAAAAATATTTATACTGCAAATATTCATGTGAAAATATGTGGGAAACACCCTGACAGGTATATATATTTGTAGATATTTGTAGATATTTGCAGTTTGTAATTAGTCGAGAGCAGATTTCTTCAGTTCAGATGCTTGCACTTCAAACTAAAACTTTGTGAGAAAATGTCAAGCAGGAAACTTTGTGGTTCTTACACCATCCTTGTTTCTTTTCCCCTTAGCATATTTTCCCTCCATCACTTCTGTCCCTTGCTCCCTCAGCTTCCTTGATGTCCTCTTGTAAGCTCCCCTTCTGCCCAGACCTAGGTTTGAGCAAGCAGATCTCTCCCTTCCCTGTCACAGCAAGGTTTTTCCTTCAGTGGCCATTTGGATTAAGCTTCTGGCTTTGAATCAGCAGTTAAATGTACATATCTTCAAGTGAACAAAGACATAAGCATAGATAGAATTTAAAATGTAAATCTAGGGTGAAACCGACTGTGGTACTCACTTCAGCTTTGGTTTTCCCTCTCTGTGTTTGGATAGCACTAGTGCTCTGTGGGATGGTGTCCCACACAGTGTCAAGTAAAAAGAGTTGCTGCATAGCCCTTTGTAAGCAGGGGACCTTCCTGGAATAGAATCTACCACTTTTACTTTCTCAGTGTTTGAATTCCTTCTCTTCATTTACTTCTAAATATTGCATGTTTGCTTGATATCCATTTTGTTGCCTCCAGAAAATGTATAAACTCAGCTTTGATTTACCCTATTGAAGCAAGAGCATGCAAAGAGTCTTTGAGACTGCATGGAAACATCTCTCAGTGTTCCGAGGATATGAAAGCTTTCAGCTTACCTTCAGAGCAGCCCTCTCTGGCACAAGTAGTTACATGAAACCAGGAATGAGTTTAAACCAGAAACTCAGATTTAATATACCTTGGGTGTGTGGGATACTACCTGCTTGAGAACATCAGTCTCTTTGCCTAGAATAATACTCAGTGTAGTCCTGTCCTGCATTGTTTTATGCCCTCTAAGTCACCCAAGCAGGTGCAAATATGTAATACAGGCAAGAACACTTAAAAGAATATAAGCACTTTTTGATGTGAGATCAAGGTTTCAATACTTCTCATGAAAACAGTGAACAAGAGCCAGTTCAGCAATGAGTCTCAGTGAAACACTGTCTTCTCATCACTTGAGAGTTTTCCTTTGCTCTTCTGACTGGCCAGACATTTCCTCCTGAATTCCCAACCAGGTCCACTTCTAGGAACTGTGTCACATGAGTTTCTCTTTATATATAACCCTTTATATTTGTTCCATCAGCACCCCCAGAGAAGTTGAAACCCTTGTGCCTGACCAGCATGCCAGTGCCCCATTATGGGGACCTCACCAAGCAATCCACTCAGAGCATGGTTTGACCCACCCGCATAGGGTCACAAACCAACAATGTTCCCACTTGGAGTTGGTAGATATTTCCAGTTTTGTCAAGTATGTTATCTGCTTCTGGCCACTCCTCCCTTAGTGCCCTTGAATGACTCACAATAAACAGTGTACTGAATAACACACTTTACTAACAAACACACTGATAATCGAACACTGTGACAGGTTAAGGTTCAGAGATTGCTGTTGACAGTGACTGATTGCAAAAATGAATTTGAAGCAATATATTGACCAATTCTAATCAGCAATTAAAGTTAGCTAGAGATAATAATTTAGCTTGCACGGAACGAGGTTCTTACCCAATAGGCATCCCTTTGGGGGAAGAAGACAAGTTCAGCTTGTTGACTGATCCCAGGAGTTATGATGGAGTCTCCTCTGACCTCCCTCCCCACTTTAGCTAGATTTATATTGCTTCCTTTGAGGGAAGAGAAAAGGTTAAGTTACAGTTGGTGACATTTCATGTTGATGTGGTACTTGAGTCATTAGTATATGTACAGAAAAGCAAAACGTGTTTTTGAGCTAATGAAGCAAAGGCCAGCTTCTGGTTATTGTCTGGTTCATTCCTTGGGCCTAGTTCCTGCTAGCTGCATGTTTTCAGTGGAGCATAACCACGACACCACTCTGTTGCTCCATCCTTTGTTTCATACCTGCATTGATTTCAACAGACCATGACCACAGCACCTCCATGCTGCTCCGTCCTTCTTTATCATCGCATGCTTAGAGCAATACACGGAGTTCCCTCAGTATCCTTGCTCCCAAGGTGTGCAGACCCAGTCCCTGCTAAACTGCAGCCAACACACGCACTCCTTCTTCATAAACACTGCTTTGTGCTCTTCCCCCATAAGGTGGAGCAATGGCTTCCCATTAGGAGGATATGGATACATGGTAGGTGTTCAGGTTTTGATGATTTTGGTTCTCACTGCTCACTGCTGGGATTTCGTGCAAAATATCAGTGCAGTCCGTGTCCCTGAGACCATGAATGGGCAAATGTCTTCTCAGCATAACAGCTCAGAGGTGCCCACCCAAGAGGGAGAACAACAGATCCCCAGGGTTTTCTTCACTCAAAACTATTGAAATTCATTTCTACAAAGGGGACACAATTAAGAGGAGAACTTCAGATCCTCCTCTCAAGAGAGGAATATCAAATAGCCCTGTGGGCACTCTCATGGGACAAGATTTGGCACCAGTGAGGACTGAGCCTGAGTGTCCTACATTCTGTGTCTGACTGCTCCAACTTATGGAGCAGACCAAAGAAAGCCATCATCATAAAATAAATCTAAACAGATAAACTGAGGTAATATCAAGCAATTTTCAGTGAGTGAAATATTTTTTAGAAGCAAAATTATTATTTTCCAGTAAAATATCACATTTCCTTTGCTCATAGGTCTAGGGTACATAGAAGAGGGTTTTTTAATAGCAACCACACTTGTGGAATGGCCCTTAGTCTTTGTATACTTAGTTTGCAATTAGTATTTGAGAGACTTTTCTTGTCCTGCCCATGACAGTCTACAAGGTCTAACTTTTTTCCATTAGCTTTTTTCCTTTCCTATAAAGTAAAACACAGTGGAAGCTCATAAAAGGCTCTTAAAGGACAATGCATAAATGAACACAACAAATCATATCTAAATCAATACAAGGGTCATCTTTATTACATTTCAGTACATATATTCCACTGCTGAACACAGTTGTATTCATAGCAATTTCAAACAGTTGCATTTGGTGTGGGAGAAAGTTCATTTTCTTATGTGGGAATTTTTCATTTGCTTGTGATTAACACCTGCTGTCTTTTAATTGTTGTTACAGGTATGAATTACTATCTGTCTATTATACCCTTTCTGGGGGCAGTGGAGGCTGGCCTCTTTGGGCAGCTGCCATATGAGATAGAAATACTGCCACCAGAGGAGCAAAAAGATGATTTCTGTTACAGCGTTAAAGACTGCTGGTCTCGCATGCCCAAGCTCATGGATGACTGGAAGGCCTTTTTTGAAGTAAATAATTTTTTAAAAATATTTTTAGACATTCTACCAAAATATTAGCTTTAAAAACTATTATTACTATCATTTTTTAAGATTCAGAGAGCTTAGTTTGTTTTCAATAGCAGCTTCATGTAAAAATAAGCAGGAAAAATGGAAAGCATAACATACAGCGAGTCAGAAATAAGTAGGACAGGATTTTTAAAAGTTATTCTTCTTTTGAGACAGTTCCGTATTTTGGCCTCTGTTCCAAGACACTGTTTTGTATTCAATTATATTTGTGTTCTTCCAATCTGCTTATGTTAGCAATGCAAAATAAGCCTGTGAGATGCAACACTGGCTTTAAAAAGTGGCCTTTGGTTGGTTTCATAAGGTTTGTTTATTTCTTTAAGCATCTAAAACTTAAAAATGCTGAAATATCATTCAGAAGTGCACCTATTTATGCAAGGAGGTATTCTCTTTCCTCCTCACTCCGCTGTTGTCTAATCCCAAAAATAACAATATTTCTTACTTCATAGATTTAATAGCTATTTTTTATAGCTAGACTACTGCAGTCAATATCTTTTATTAGTAGTCAACTGATAATGAGCAGGAATGTTAAACTGTAAGTCCCCCTTGTGGGTGAAAGAAGTTGTTTAAGAGTAAGACTGGATCTCTCCTCATAAGATCATTTTTCCCATACGTCATGCTTCAGAAGTTATTGTAAAATATCTACTCCTCATATAACTATAATGACAACAAGGACAATTTTCTTTTTTTTCAGAAAATCTTCAGAAAGTTGTGGTTAAAAGAATATAGATAAGTTTTTTAAGATAATAAGGAGTCCCCTATTTTAGTACTGAATATTCCATGGCAGTCAGATACAAAAGTCCACTGAATTTTTGTAACCAAATACCAAAATTATGTTAATAAAAGAATAAAACCCTTGCAATGTTGAAGTCGAAAAACAGCAGCTATCACTAACTATTCAAATGCAATTTCCTTTAGCTTATTATTTTGTGAGGTATGTGCTCATATAAAAAAAAAAAAAGGTTTAAACCTCCCCTCTCATTTTCTGCCCCTTTTGCTCCCTGTTGCTGCAGTATCTGTTATCTACAGAACACAAAGCTGTGAACTCTGCCAGCCTCTCCTCCTTCAAACTGGACGATGCCCTTGGCCTCATGTGGAAGGCACACACCTCCTCCATTGCTTACGCACTCCCCAAGTTCCATGACCGGTAAGGGGAATAGAGCAGTGTCCATGGAGCATCTTTCCACCTCCAGGCCTCTTTGGAAGGATGGTATCCTTACAAAGTCTGCATCAGCCCTTGTACTGTCACTGTCATATTTTCTGAAAAATCCCTTTGCCAGGATTTGTTCTCCTGGGAAGCTGAGAAGCCTCAGAGAAAAATGAAAATGATAATTATCTGATTCGCTTCCCCTGTGTTTTGCTGCTTTGGAATGTGGTTTGGAGATTTTTTACCAACTGCTCATTGTTTGATTGGTTGCATGTGAATTGTTTTGACTTAATTCCCAATCACGGTCCAGCTGTGTCGGTACTCTGGAAGGGTCAGGAGTTTTTCATTATTATCTTTTAGCCTTCTGTCTGTATCTCTATTCTTTAGTATAGTTTAGTATAGCATTCTTTAATACAATATAATTTCATAAAATAATAAATTAGCCTTCTAAGAACATGGAGTCAGATTCATCTTTCCTCCCCATGACAGGAGACCGTGGAAATGCCACACTCATACTTAAGGCATCTACTCCATAGGCTCTGCTCTTCCTTATCCTCTCTCAGAGTGTGGGATGACCAGTGAGAGATGGCTGCCCAAACTGTGATGACCAGTCAGGCTCTGGGCTTAAAATGAGATGCTGGTTCACCTCTGGGAGCCAGGGCCTGACTCAGGAGCTGTGTTTAATCTGGGAAGAGGCAGGGTTGCCGGGAGAAATTGGGTATAAAGTACTTAAGGAGGCTTCAAGTCACAGTGGCGCTGGGGCCACTCAGGATTTTATACTGAACAAAAACCTTTGGGATAAATGATCAACTAGTGTGTTCTACAGGAGAGTTCAGTTATCTGCCGCATTTTTTATTTTCTTCTCTTTCAGCTTAAAATATCTCTCTGATCCAGAAGCAAATTTTGGAGAAGACTGGGCTGATGCTGTAGATTTCATTGCCGCCACACACTTCAAAACAGACTTGCTGACCACAAACACCTTCCAGACTTTCCTGCCCCAGAGGATGCTTGTAGAAGGGGATGTTCTCCCATCCATTAGTGACTTCAGTCCAGAGCAAAATAAGGTTCTGGTGTCACTGAGAGTTCTTCACAAAGTAAATAAAATAACAGGTATGAACGTGACCTAGAGATATCTGTTGTCCATAGATATTAATATCTTGTTCTCTCTACATACCTTTCTGCATATGACGGAATTCACAATACAGTGAATGTTTGATATAAAGTAGTATAAACACATCTTAGAGACTAACAGTAAAACAATTAAAATACAACCATAAGCAAACAACACACCAGACAGCAAATGCTGGTGGGATAACGCTGACAATATGAGGGATTTCAGTGAGAAAAAAAACCAGATGATCTTACTCTTTCTTTTCCCAGTTTTCACAGGAACTTTAAAAACAGAGACTTTTTTTTTCTGTTTCACCAGTGGAATCTGAAACCATTATAACTGTAAATGAAATTATTAAACCAGTTGAACAAGAACAAACAAAGAAACAAAAAGTAAATTATCATAAGCAACAGTTTTTGTGTCCACAAGTGTTCTGGTTTCAGTTTTTGATTCTCTCTTGGTCTTTGATTTAACAGAGATGTGTCCCAGCAAAACTATCCTTAGTCAATGCTGACTTTATCGTATTCACCATAATATGTCGTACATCACCATCCAGTGGTGCAACACAGAATTACACTCTCCTGAGGATTCAGTTCTTTCATAGATACTTCTGGGCTAGCTATTTTTGTTTGTCCTTTATGAAGCAAAGTTATTTTGAATCTTTAAATTAAAATAGAATGTAAAAATACACTGAAAAAATTGGCATGCCTAGCTATCGCACTTGTGATTCTCTTCTATCTGTATATTTCACTCAAAATTCTCTCACCAGCTGGATTTAAAGATGAGAAATAAAGCTATTCAGTGCTACAAAAGAGCATCTTCCCATCACAGAGTGCTTCCCTCACATTTTTCACGCAGCATTATTTTAGGAATCTGAATAAGGGTCTGAACAGATCTATTGTTTACTTGGCAGCCTATGACACAGTCCAGGGTTTCTTGACATACCTCCAGGAAAGGAGAAGAGCACAGCAAGGAAAAGCATGACCAGAAGGACAGGAAGGAGGGTGAGAGCACCAGGGTAGCACATCACGTGAGGACAGCCCTGCAGGGAGAGAGGGAACAATGTATGGATCCTGAACATCGTAAGTGGAAGGAGAGAGAGAGATAAGCTTCATGCAGGTGCAGCCACAATGAATCCCATAGCTGAAATCCCTTGCTTTTCAGGGGAGAGATTTCCATGACTTTGCTCTAAGGGATGAGCTTTGAATTCAGCTGAGAATTAAATGCCACCTAATTCAGCCTGGTAACTGATTTGCAGATCAGAAAAAGGAGCTTTAAAATAAATTTGACTGTATCTAGGTCCACTGCTTCAGCAGGGACCTGAAAGACCCTACCTTAGTGCTACAAAGCACAGGTGACAAAACAGACTGTTTTTGTAGATGCTTTTAAATACATCCTGTGAGAGACAGGGTTCTCTACTGGTACTGCAAACCTCAACAGCAGATAGAGGGTCTTACTACCTCCTAGGATGGGACCTGTCCAACCTAGAGTGAGACTTGATTTCTTGATTCAGAGTTTGATTAGTACTTATTTTTGTTCAGTTGCCCCTGCTAGTCCAGCAGGAACTTTATTGAGAGTTGTGCTGCTTCTAAAGCTTTTCGACTCATGGACTGTCAGATCAACTTTTTACCCAAAGGCATAACAGGAGGAGAATAAATTCTTCTTACTAGACATTTTTACCCTCACATTTCCCCTCTATCCACTCCAAAGATGAGCACTGACTGGGGTGAGGAGTAGGCAGTGACTATCCTGCAAACTGGGGCTGATGTTGGCCTGGGTTGGCCGAGCCACACGTCCTAGAGAGCCACTGTTTATCACCTGGACTTAAGTATTAGTATTAAATATTAAGTATTAAGTATTCGCTTCTTTAGCTTGAGGTCTTAGCTGGCAAAAAGTGAACACTCTTTGAAGACAGGCCTGACTATAACTCCCAGGCTACTGCTCCATAAACCACGGAGCTACGTGCCAGAGCAAAGACTTTCCCATAAGTCTTCAATCATTTCGACCTGCAGCACTGGTGACACGGGAGCAAGCCTCGTTGTCTGTCATTACAAAGGATCCTGAGCTGAATGAATGCCCTGCGTCTCCCTGCACATTTGTAGGCAATTATCATCCCCTCGGCAAGCTCCAGCTTTGTCTGCAATTCTCTGTCCCCGGGAGAGTGTGGAGTGCTTGTTGCCAGACGTGCACTTGGTCCCTGGTACGCTGTGAGCTGCATGTGCTCCATGCTAATTTGCCAATGTCATGTTGTGTTTCTTTCCAAGGAGGATTGCTGCTGAAGATCTGGCAGAAGGCTATGTCCACCGAAGCTGGAAGAAGAATAGGCCGAGAGCTGATTGAAAGCCTGCCTTCGAGCCCGAAGCTCAAACTACTTGACCTAATAGAAATTTAGAATTACTGGGAAGGAGATGATTTGAAAATTCCCAGTTCCTCAAGAAAGAGCACTTCCAAGATGGATTGATTTAATATTTTAGCAGATGTGTGTCTGCTAGTCTGGCCTTGGTAATTTCTTACAGCAGGATTTCCTGAGTAGCCATGCATATCTCTCTCTCAAATGGAATCTATATTTTTAAGCTCAATTTTCCTAACTATCTAATTTGTTTAACTCAATTCCCTATAAATAAAAAAAAAAACTCACAGAAAAATCTTACTTTACTACTTTTTGTGGCTTTATAAATAATGTATCATACTTGGAGGCAAAATTAAAAGCAGGCAAAATATATTTTGTTTCAGACTGGTTTCTTTTTTCCCTGTAGGCAAGGATTCCACTAGATATGTAATTACTTCATGGTCCAACAGATGATCAGGAGAAACTTTTTTTTGAAGTTCTGATCCAAAAGCCTTGACTGTCAAATCTCAAGGCTGACAAGTCAAATGCCTTGACTGTTTCCCACCAAAGCTGTTATTTCGCAGAGCAGCTGCAATCAAACTGGAAGCTTTCAGGCTTTTCAGATTAGGTACTTGAGTACAGATAGATTCCCTTGCTATGCTGTTTTGCAGCAAGTACATGCCTCACATGGTAGAGCAGAGCCAGACCAGAGCACTCCTGGAGCAAATTAATTTATTCCATACCAGCTTTTACATGACAACAGAGATTTCTTGTTCTTGATTCATTTCACTTTCTTCAAGAAAACTTTGATCTATATATGAATTTATGTGATTGTGTGCCCTGTACAACCACAGGTTGCTTTTCCTTTCCCCCATGTCTAATCCACTTGTTGCAGTGTGTCATATGTTGGATTTGGTTACTGAGGAAGAGCTGTATTTGCAATGTTTGCACTCCCAGTGCCTGGAATACTCAGACCCAAGGGTTGATCCCAGTCTTCGGGGTGATAACACACATTTGGAATCGGTTATAACTTGAAAACAGAGGTTGTGGGGAGGTGGGTCAGGGATCCTGCATGCAGACAGGGCTTGAAGTTTCTTGGGAAATGAATGAAAGTTGTCTTTGCCCACAGCAGTTGGCTTGGAACTAGATGACCTTTCAGGTCCCTTCCAATCCAAATCCTTCTGCAATTCTATGAAAAGAAGTGATTTCTTTCCATTCCATTTTCCTGGTTTGATTTGTCCTTTCTCCCCAAACTTGCATGATATTTGCACTGTAAATTAGGAAATAATTATCGTCACATTGAGCAGTTAAACACCATTCTGTCCTTTAATGTCCCAGGACAAAGGTGTTAATTATTCATTGTCATGTAATGGATAAACTCTTAATGTACCATCATTAGCTAACAATTTTCAAAGGAAATACATTAATGAGGTATAAGAAAATGTGGGAGTTTTTACCTTAATTACCTGGTTCATAGATCACAGTAATTAGATTCCAGCAGACTTTAGATATAATCCAAAAGTAATCACCACAGCTGCCAGCTGCTAAATATTGTTAGTTGTGCTCCAAAAAAGTTAGAAAAATTTTTTTGACCTTTTCTGTAGTTAACTTAGATTGAACTTAAAGTACGCTTTGAGAAAACAAAAAGAGCCATTAATACAAACTTTTAAACTGCACACTGCTGCACTTGAGGGAGTCTTTATAAAACACATTTTTAAAAAGCAGTTTACTTCTTACCTGAATTTATGAAACATTAGGAAATGGTTCTGAATTTTGAAAAAGAGTCTTCTTTCTTAATACAGCACCAAGCATTTCTGTATTTCATACACTTTGTCCTAATCCAACAAGACAACCAGTCAGGTAAGGACTTTAGAAATTGGCCAGTGATTGCTCTGGAAGCTGAGGAATGTATAAAAGTTTAGACAAAATATGAGATGGGGGATCCTTACAAGTACAGTAGCATAGGTTATCTTGAAATATAATAGCTGCATACTCACAGGAAAACTTCTATCAGAGACGAAACAGAGAGAAAAGCATCAAGGGAAAGCGGTAGAGGTGTGGTAGGATGGCTTTGGAAAGGAATGGGAGAGCAGTGAAAGAGACTGCTTGCTAATAAGAGCCAGCAAAAGCTGATGACTCCCTAAGCAGGGGTTTGGCCAGGGAGAAGAGCTCACAAAGCATAAAGGTTTTCCCTGCTCAGCATTAGTCTGGGGTTTGCTGCTCTCTTCTCATGCCTTTTACACATGTGGTCTCTCTAATGAGGAGTGGCTGGCATTGAGTAGGGCTACTTCCTATTTGACAGAAGTGGTGTTGAAAATAAGCAAAGTCACAGCTGGCTTTGGAAAGACAGGGGGTTAAAATTCTATACACACTTGCAAATAGCAAGCCTAAGGGTATTGAATTAAACAATGTTTGGGCGTGAAGAAGGGAAGTTTAGAAATGAAAAGTGGTACGTGATAAAGGAAGAACTTGGGAAAATATAAACAAACCAGAAAAGAGTCTGTCCATCCTCAAAACTTGGGCAATAGTGCTGAATGCTGTGCAGTCCCCTCTCCACACCTCATTTTAGCCAGGTCAGCTCCTTATTTCTGAATGCTGTGCAGTTTTCAGTGCCTTTGCTACAGGAGTGATCAGTTTCTGAGGAATGGTCAGAAGTGAGACTCTTATCCTTGTCCATATATTTGCAACTGGGCAAACAGCTGCTGTGCCTTACCAAATACTGTCCTAAACTTACATCACAGAAATACCTAAGGGCTGACCTCTCCACCTGTTCTTCCATAAGAGCAATGGCAACCTTGTCCTTCTCTAGGAAGGGTACCTAGAACGGCAGACAGGTGTCAGCAGGCACTTCTTTAGCTTCCTTAGGCAAAAAGACATGGAGCTTACATGGCAAACACCCAAGGTAGTCATTAGGAAAGATGCCAAAAAATTCTTTTTTCTTTCAAGTAGGAATTGGATTTCTAGGTTTTCCCTTCCCTATGATCCTAATCTGTGGAGAATTGGGCGTTCCTTTCCAGCCTATGCTCTCTAAGGAATAATAAAGTGCTTTTTTTTCTGGTGGGAAAAATCACACCTGGCAAGTGTGGAGGGAAGGGCATTCTTGCCCAAAGCAGCCTCTAATGTGGCAGATAGGAGGTTTTGCAAGGAAGCAGAAGATGTAGATTTGGATTCTGACAGATAGAAACAAAACTAACCAATGTATTCCAACTGTTGTGCGCAGCATTAAAAACCCTCTGCATTTCTTAAACCCAAATTGTTCATTACTTTCTCTGACCAAGGCATTTTATCTGCCTCTCTCAGCAGGGTGTTGGAGGCTGTAGACCTTCAGTTCCTGCCACTAAAGGCAGTGAGATTCAAGATGATGGAGACCTGTTATAACATTTCCATTACCTTAACCTCTGTGACCTCAGGAGGAGCATGTTTCCTCTCTGGTTTTGATATAATTTAAAAATATGAATATGCTTGTAGATCTGAGTCTAAGCTTATTATGGATTTAATTCTCCTTTTTACAATGAGACACATGGGGCCATGAGGTGTTTTGAGAACAATGTGCATGGCACAAGCTGCCATAGGCAGGGACTGTCAAGGCTCCCTAGGAGGGTGTTGGGGAGCTGAGGCTGCAGACCTGCCTAACTGCACCAGCTGGAAAGGGCTGCTTGGTTGGGAAGCATTGACAGTGGCTCAAAATGGGGTTCAGAGGATGAGGAATGGAGGAAGAATAATGTAAACATTTGTTAGAAGACATTTATACCCACTTAAAACATGGGTAGAAAAAACGTGATAATGTAAAAATGTTTTTTAACTGATTAATGCCTAATCAAACTCTCCAGGACAGAAAGAGCAGTAAAATAAAATCCTTAATGTCTCTCACCTCCTTCTGCAAACTGTTAGTAGCTGTGGGAAAATTTGCATGAGCTGTTTGTGTGTGTGTTTGCAGGAAAGGCTGCAGCAGGTATGGTGAACAGATAGTGGCAGTATAAACCAGGCTTCTGGACTAGTAAAGTCATTTCAGAATGAAAGGCTCTTTCTACCTCTCCTTTTGTGTGTCATTAGGTCCCAAAATACTAACAGATGTGATCACTGAACCTAAGAGAGCAGGCAGCTGAAATAAGAGGAAAAAAAGGAGAAGAGTCTTTTTGCTGACAATGTAGCTGCAGTGCCCCATGTGGGGCAATCCCGAGCCCCACTCAGATCCTTCCTCTGCACTATGAGGACCAGAGGAATTTCAGAAGGGTGATGGACTTGCATTAAAGGAAGATCATAACATCTGAGGCTGCCCCGGGAAGAGGTACTGCTTTCTGAGGCTGGCCTGATCCTCTGGTTGCCAGCACTGCTGCATCTAGAGCCTCAGGGATAATGTCACAGAGACATGGGGATAAGGAACAAGGATGTACCGGCATTTCTTAGATCCTGGTGGAATCGGCCCCTTGACACACCATGCAAATGTTCCCACACACACCAAAATGTTAACAAATAGGAGGGATTTAAAGTTATGTGAGAAAATTAAAAGGGTCAGGCTGAGCTATCCATCCTGGTACCCCCACTCTGGACAGAGCTGGCAGCAGTGGACTGGGGCAGGAGCAGCAAAGGCAAGGCAAAGGCAGGGTAATCTCTCCTTCTACTCACCCTGCCAGCAGCTGGCAGTCTGCACTTACATCAGGCCCACATGGTTTATCAGTTCCAGAGAAAAAGAGTTGTGAAAGGTTATCTTGGAAAATACAAATACCCAAGAAAAGATACAGAGTAAGTTTATCAAACAGATTTATTGCAAAGCACAAGAACACTCCCAGCACACAGATACATTAAGAAAACAAAGGAGGAAAACAAAAAAAACCCCAAAAAACCATCAAAACCTGTCACTAATACGTGAAGTAGAAGCAAGAGAACACTCTCTTCAGAGACTATCAGTTTTAACATGATGTCAGGAAGTTGAAAATTTACATGGTAAAGGTGCATCGAAGTCTAAAAATGTAAGGAAAACACCTGGACAGTCTTAGAAGGGGGAGGAAAGATATCATATGTGTTAAGTGAATAAACAGTGGCTTCTTATTGGGAGCATTGTG